GACTGTGGCTTTAGACAAAAGAACTCCATCCCCGGGCAGGATGTGGCACTTGAGTGGCGCATACAACACAGAGGAAATGGGCGTAAAATTCTTGATATAAAAGCGAGGGAAACAGAGACAGATGTGGGACAAGATTGTAAGTGAGAAATATTCATATATTTAAAGGTAAAACATGTTTGGATGTTAAATATCACACTACTACTGTACACTGCAGTATTTGTGGACCGGGAAGGCACAAGCGCTGAGGCAGATCTTCTGGTGAGGGACGGTAATGCGTCTCTGACTTTGAAGAGGTTAAAGGTCACAGATGAGGGCACATACATCTGTACTGTCGGCTCTGGAGAGTTTCAGACTCAACAGATCGTGCAGCTGCTCATCACACGTGAGTCTTTCATTGGCATATGTACTGAGAGGGGTCAAAATGTCCATTAATATGTTATACAATTCATATTCTATAAAAAGGTGTTTCTTCAGCTATGGACACTTTTTAGAAAATAGACTCTTAAAATACTTTCACACTTTCAAAAGTTTATTTAATCTGTCAACTAACAACAGTGGACATACATCACAGGAGAATTCTGTGTTGCTATCTGTGAAGCCAAGCATAAGAATAGCCTACTAATGTACATTTGTTAACCCACAGTAACACATTTTAACAGATTAATCGCATATTTTCGTTTGCTGCATGCTTTTAAAAACACAATAAATTTTTTTTTTTTTTTTTAGGAAAATACATATTTCACTTAATATTTTACATACATTTTGCTTAATTTTGCATAATTTGCATTAATATTAATTTTGTGTCTTATTTTCATCATGTCACAACCATGTCTCCTTGGTATGGAGCCCCTAAATAATGGTGAAGGTAAAAGAGAGAGAGAGAGAGAGAGAGAGAGAGAGAGAGAGAGAGAGAGGAGGAAAAAATATATTTGAATGCTTTTGAGTTTTCTCACAAAAGTGTTACGTTCCCCGGAGAAACGTTGCTTTTGCTTGCAAAACTTTTTAATTTACTCAGAAGTGTTTTGTGATGAAAATAAAATGAGGTGGGAGGAAAAACTATATTTCATAAACTATATTTTCTCTGAGTTACTCGATACTTGTACGAGAGAACATGAAATTGAAATAGTTTTTCTGCCCATCATATATTTTTCGTCTTAGGGGCACCATGCCTTGGTAAACAAGTACACTAAAGGCCCGTTCACACCAAGCACGATAACTATAAAGATAACGATATAGTTCTAAAAATCGTTCTCAATATTAAAGAATAGCAGAGTCCACACCACAACTATAACGATAAAGGCACAGAGAAACGATATCGTTGGAATCACTTCCAGAACGATTTTTTCCAGCTGATGAACGATACAAAGATTGACAGCCAATCAGAATCCATTCTGTTATAGCTCGAGAATTTAAAGCGGCAGACGCACGTGCGCTTAAAATAAACAGACGATATCGTTCGCTGGTGTGGACGCTAATATCGTTATCTTTATAGTTATCGTTCTTGGTGTGAACGGGGCTTAACTTTAGAAAAATATTACATTAATGTTTTATAAAATATGTAAATCTTTCAAACATGAAAATACTTAATTCTTTGTTTAGATGATAGTTCTAAACAGTTTCCCATTCCTATGTTATGATGGATTTTCATAGTTTAATATTGAAAGTATCAAAAATAAATGGTGAAGGCTTGATAAAAAAAGTTTCTAGACCTTGACCTTCAAATAACTTCACATAAATTGAAATGTTTGTTGTAATAAAAATCCACACATGGGACATTCAGCTTGCTCAAAGTTGAAGAAACCCATAAATTGTTCACATCCATAAATCCTTCAATTTTATTTGAAGGAAATTAGTCAAATATTCCATTCTATATCTTTACTCAGAACCTCCCCGTATCGCACTATCTGAGGAGAAACTGATATTTCAGGATTCAACACCGCAGAAACTGAGCTGCCATTGTCATCGCTACTATCCTCTGGATGTGCAGGTCAAGCTCACAATCAGATGATCATATTTTGATCTCGTTTTGGAGTTGTGTCCTGACAGCCCTGTGCTCCTGTAGGTGGAGTGGTTTTCCCAGGCACCGTCTGAAGAAGAGCCTGTCTCTTTGTCAAAAGAATCCTCCCTCTCCAGTCATCGGCAGCACAATGATGGAACATATTCCCTCTCCTCTCACCTCACCCTACGGCCCGACAAAAACCCACCCGGGACGGTTATCACCTGTAGGGTCTCTCATCCAGCCCTAGAAACTCCGAGTGATGCCACTCTGACTGTGGACAAACCTAACCCAGGTAAGAGATTTTTTTGTGTTAGGTTACCCATGATGTTTTCACAAATATGATTTGTGTAAATTCAGTGTTGATCATAGAGCAAACTAGTCAATAAAACAACGAGTAATTTTCATATGCAAAGTAGTTGAATGTAAAATCTGTTAAATTTCTTAATTTAAATATTCATGAAGCTGTTGAACTTTTTTAATTGAACAGACACAGTCTTCTGGACAGTAGTCTTAATGTTGGCGATATCAGTGGTGTTTTTGTATCAAGCATTCAGAGGTGCAGGTGAGTTTAGCTTTTTAAAACATTCACATGCAACTATATATAATATTAACTATATATGCTACTATATATATTTTTTTTTTACAGAAATTAACAGTTTTTTGCAGTAAGGATGCTTTAAATTGTGACAGTAAAGTGTGACAGTATGTTTATATTGATACAAAAAAAAAATTATACTTAAATGTTCTTTTTGAACTTTACATTAATCAAATAAACCAGGGAAAAAAAGTCAGTGTCCACAAAAATATTAAGCATAATGTTTTGAACATTGATGATAAGAAATGTTTATTGAGCACCAAAAAGAAAAAAAAGGTAGTGTATACTGTATAAGACCACACAATGGTGAGAAGACAATGTTAAATGTATTATTGAATTATCATTATTTGTCTTTTAAGAGAACTGAGGACCAGTCTTCTGTGTGATCTCTTGGAACGAGCCATCTTACGTTTTTTTTTTTTACTTCATCTGTCCGCAACGGTCTTCAAATGGGTTTATTTTCATACAGTCATAGTACATTTGTTTAATAGAAGTTGTCAAAATCAATTTCCTGCATAAGTTATTCTATAAACATAAAATGAATTTTAAAAAAAATTCAGATGTTCTAATCTATTGTATGTTGTTTATTTGTTGTACATTTTCCTTGCTTTTGTGAAATAAAAACAACAGAAAAGGCAGTCATAGTACATTTGTTTAATAGAAGTTGTCAAAATCAATTTCCTGCATAAGTTATTCTATAAACATAAAATGAATTAAAAAAAAATTCTGATGTTCTAATCTATTGGATGTTGTTTATTTGTTGTACATTTTCCTTGCTGTTGTGAAATAAAAACAACAGAAAAGGTTTTGTCGATGGTTTTATTGGCATCATTAAAGTATCAGGGGCATATAAGCATGCTGTTTTTGCTATTAAAATCTAATACTGGCATCAGAGCTGATGGCATTACCCCTCTGTGATGGTATATGATTTCATTCATATTTATACATATCATTTGTCATCATATTTAGTTTGTCTCACTTGATCTTACAAGAGAAAAATAGACATGTCTACATTCTCCAACAAACTATAAAAGTCTGTGCTGTGACGAAGGAATGTGAAAACCAACAGTTGTATATTGCATGGCAGTATAGATTATCGTTTATGCTCCGTTTGCATCGATTATCTGTGAATTTCTGTACGTTTCAGTACATTTTGGCAGGCTCGTAGCATTCACATCTTGTTCCCAGATGAGGCTTTTCCACAGAAAAAGAAAATAATTTTGCACATAACAGGCAGTTAATAGTACTAAATTAGCATATCACACGTAAAACAGTGGGATTATTCTGCCATGCAAGTCAAAAGAAACAAATGATCCATCCTTCTGTGTGTGCAAAGAATTCTCACTTGTCCCTTTTATTACAGACTTGGCATTGTATTTTTACTGTTCATTTTCATTACTTGTGCACCTCTAGGTAAGAAAAAAACAGCTATTCTCATAAATGATCTGTCTATTTATTCTGTTCCTCTGGAAATGTCAGTATCTTAAGTACACACACATTGATGGCTCATGAATTGTATCTCAATAACGGTAATGGCAACAGCAGTACTGATACTGGGTTAAGAGGCAAACCTGCAGGGACAGATTATGTCAATATTCATTTCTAAAAGTTCTCCGAAAGGTCAGACGAGAAAGCTTTGGCAATAAAGAGCCAGAAAGAATGTCTACCTCACTTTACGGTCATCTATTCCACACTCAGATTTCTCTCATCTCTCTCTTACATACACTACCATTCAAAAGTTTGTTTTTACAATGTTTCTCTTATGTTCACCAAGGCTGCATTAATTTGATCGAAATACAGTAATAAAAACCGTAACATTGTGAAATATTACAATATAACTGTTTTATATTTGAATATATTTCAAACTAATTTATATAATTCAAATGTAATTCATGATGTCAAAGCTGAGTTTTCAAGAGGTTAATTTGAGCAGCAGATCAGCATAGACTTATTCCGGAAGGATCATGTGACCTGTATTCCTTATCATTAATTTGATTAAAAATACAGTAAAAACAGTAATATTGTGAAATATTATTACAATGCAAAATAACTGTTTTCTATATTAATATTACAAAAAGTAACTTGTTCCTGTGATGGCCAAGCTGAATTTTCAGCATCATTTGTCTCCAGTCTTCAGTGTCACATGATCCTTCAGAAATCATTCTAATACGTTGATTTGGTGCTCAAGAAACATTTCTTACTATTATGGATGTTGAAAACAGTTTTTCTTAATATTTTTGTGGAAACCATAATATGTTTTTTTTTTTTTCAGGATTCTTTGATTAATAGAAAATTTGAAATATTGTCTGACACTGTCACTATTGATCAAATTAATGCACCTTTGCTGAATAAAAGTATTATTATTTTTTAAATTCTGACCACAAACTTTTAAACAGTATTGCATGCCTCCTCCACGAGCACTTTTTTCACAAGTGTCGCCTCATTTTTTTTTTCTTCCTGGCCTCTCCCACTTATTCTTATCGGCCTGTTTTTCTTCTGCTCTCTCTGTGCATTCATGTATGAATGTCTGCGTGTCTGCAGAATGTTTAAATAATGCAGGAGATTCTAAGAGGGAGGGAAAGAGAGAGAAACTGAAATGTGCTCATTCTGGTAAAGGAGAAAGGAGAGCAGATATCGGTGTACTACAGTCACACCAAGGTGAAAACTGACTAAACGGAGAGACCTCGAGATTGAAGCGAGAAGGATGTGGAAAATGGGCGGAGCGCACGATTGTGTTTTCTTCATTCACTCATTCGTTTTCTCATTCGCTGCAGGTGGATCGGCTCAAGAGAAGAAATACACTAGATAAGGAAAGATAAGAAGGAAGAGGTGGTCGATATTCCACTGCGACACGTGTTTCTGCACTGCTACACACAACTGCTCTTAATGAATAATTCACTGTAATGAGTGTAATGATGAATTATTGAGCTTGTGCGGTGCTGGTCCAGTCTGGTCACTAAACACACAAACTCACATAGGCCTGAGCACCAGCACTGATGCCTCTAATAAAAGAAGCCTGAGCATCACAGGACGGCTAAGCACATACACCAACAGAAAGTGCCTGCTCAATCGAAACTACCTGTGTAACCTTTCGTTGCTAAAGAGAAAATGATGTGCAAATACACTCTAAAAAATGCTGGGTCAAAACAACCCAACAGCTGGGTCAAAACAACCCAACAGCTGGGTCAAAACAACCCAATAGCTGGGTTTGTCCCTTTTTAACCCAGCGCTGGGTTATATTTAACCCAGCATTTTTTAGAGTGTAGATATTGAATAAATAGTAAATATATCCTTGAAAACAATTAAAGAGATTGGAGAACTTTAAAATCTCCATATAAATGCCGAACTATGATCAGAAATCCAGCTCAAAGAATTACATTACATTTTTAAGGTAGGGTTAATGATAGGTATAATTGTACCTTTAGAATTATAATTGCCTTTGTAACAATTGTAACTTTATAGCCGTTCAAATTATTCAAAACTCACAGAAAATGATTCCAATGAAGATGACTCCAATGACACCCATAATAATCATCATCTGAGGGACGAAAGGAAAGGACAGAAATAGTTACAATCACACAATTTATCCCTCACTCTACATTACAAGAAGACAGCAACACAAACATCCTGTTTATCGGATTATTCAAGAATATAACAAACAAACGTTTACAAATGGGATTTGCTCATTTTATCAGCTGCCTGGCAAAAATCACAAGTCTGATTGTTTATAAATGTTTAGGTGAAAATCTGGAGAATGGATTTAAAGGGGAGGTCTAATGCTATTTCATGCATTCGGAGTTATTTACACTGTTAAAGTGTTGGATTCTCATGCTAAACATGGCCAAAGTTTAAAAAAAAAATGCGTTGGACGTATGACGGAGTATTTCTGTGCCAAAGACACTCCATCAGGGTTTGTATAAGTTTCGGGAAGTTTTTTTCAAGTATGGCCCTCCTGTTTATACAAACTAACTAATTAACACTAGCAGCTGTACAGAACAAAATCACTGAGCAAAGCATAAGCAACAAGCACTGACCTATTTACTCCTGTATGTTAGTTCATTAACACTTCTGAGCACATTCTGAGCTATTTTAGTATTACTTCTAGTATTTATTAATACTTTGAATTCGTTTTTATTTTTAGTTTAAGTTTGTTACGTGCTGTTGTGTTACGTGCTTTATTGTGTGCTTTTATTTTTCTTTAAATATTTCTATATAACTTTATTTTTAGTTCAGTTTTAATATTTTAGTACATCAACTTCAGCTTAAATATTACAGATAGTTTTTAAGTGTAAGTTTTTCATCTAATATTTATATTTTATTTTAGAAAACACTGGAGTACATCATATAATTTCCTGTTAAATTTGGTGTGTTTCACTTTTTCACTGTAAATCCCTTTGGTTAATTATTAATTAAAATGACGACGTAATAAGTAATATCCTGTATGAGCGCTAAGCTGATTTCATGCAGTCACGATGACTCACCTTGCAATTCTTCCACCAGTATTTGTTCTTCAGTTTGGCAGCACAGCTTTCGAACTGTGACGCCCCGGCCTGTAGAGCATCTGCCCTGTCGTCCAGCTCAGAGAGCTTCTGGTCTCTCTCCAGAACCTTATCCACATTCACACGCATGATATCCACCACCTGCAGACCACAACCACAGAAAGACATGAGACAAGAAAGAACGACACTGAATACTTGTGTTGCAATAGCATTGATTTGTATTTTGGTCATTCTAAATGATGTATGTGCAAAACTGCACAAATTCATGCTGTCCTGTGCATATATAATGCTTCCATTTTTTTGTCCATAAACTCTTTACACACAAACACACACTCACCTCCTCCACTTGTGCTTGTGTCTGCTGCAGCCGGCGGTTGCTGGTGGTGTTTGGAGGGGGAGCAGGAGGACCGGCTCCTCCAGGGCCACCTGGGGCTCCAGGAGCACCTGCTGGGTTTGCATCATCTGCAGCAGACCTG